ACCAAGAGGCATAAAATATGAGCAAGCTAGTAGTTTTATGTTTTCTAGCAAAATCACAATTTAAATGAGTAAAAAGACACAGGTGAATTAATTTATATATTTCAATGAGACATATGCTGTATTATCATTTCGACGGGTAATGGCTTCACATGATCATTCACACGATCAAAACAGAAAATTCATGCCAAGATGAAAGTGTGCATTTTAATTGGTCTTCTTTAGTAACTAGATTTTGGTGGTGGATGTGGGGGCTTGTCAGATCCGATTAGATCTTCATTGTTTTTCTGGGTGCTGTGGATAAAGAGGAGGAGCCATCTGCCAACTGTTACTGTTTGCTGTTACTGCCAACTGTGCTGACACTGAGTGTCCTCTGTCATCCATAGTTCTGTCATTGCTAAAAAATGTTCACACAGAGAATTTCCCATTTTAACCACTTTCAAGTGCACAGTCCGGTGGCATTAAGTATCTTCACAAAGTTGGGCAGCCATCACCATCATCCAGAATTCCTCATCCTCCGAAATGCAGACTCCATATTCAATAAGTAACAACTACCCTCCCCCTTCCCCTACTCCCAGGCCACCTCATTCTACTTTCTGTCTCTCTGAATTTGATCACTACCTCCTATATGTGGACTCATATAGTACATGTCTTATGGCGACTGGCTTCTGTCACTTGACATTGATTTTAGGATCCATTCATTGTGTAACTACATGTCAGAATTTCTTTCCAGGGCTGAATATGTATGTGCTGAATTTTATTCACCCATTCATGTGTCGATAGATATTTGGGCTGCGTCAACCTCCAGGCTATTGTGAACAATGCAGCTGTGTACATTGTTCACTAAGAGTCCCTATTTTCAGTAATGTTGGGTTATAACCAGAAGTGGAATTGCTAGAGCCTATAGTAATTATATGTTAAATTTTCCCACAGAGGTTGTGCCATTTTTGAGTTCCACCATCCATGCAAGAGGGTTTTGATTTCCCCATACTTTTGCTAACATTTGTGATTTTCTTTTTATTCTTAATAGTCATTCTGAGTGGGTATGAAGCATATTTCATTATGATTTTAATTTGCATTTCCTTAATGATTAATGGTGTTGAATATCTTTTCATGTGCTTGTTGGCCATTTATGTATCTTCTTTAGAAAAAGCCTATGCAAGTTATTTGAACCTGTTTTATTTAGTTTGCCTTTCTATGATTCATTTGCAAGTGCCTTTATATATTCTGGATACTAGATCCTTTTGAGATATATGATATTTTCTCCTGTAGATTCTCTTTTAACTTTTTTGTGGGGCGGGTGGCAGTTCTGGGGATTGAACTCGGGGGCACTCAACCACTGAGCCACATCTTCAGCTCTATTTTATATTTTATTTAGAGTCAGGGTCTCACTGAGTTGCTTAGCATCTTGCTTTTGCTGAGGCAGGTTTAGAACTCATGATCCTCCTGCCTCAGCCCCCTGAGCTGCTGGGATTACAAGTATGCACCACTGCATCTGGCTTATTTAACTTTTTTGATAATATTCTTTGTTGCACAAATGTTTTTAATTTGAAGAAGGTTGAATTTATCTACTCATATAGAATTGCAAGGGGTCTTGAATAGCTAAAACAATCTCAAAAACAAGGACAAAGTTGGAGAACTTTTACTTCCAAATTTCAAAAACCTACTGCAAAGCTACAATTAGAAACAAAACCAAACAAACAAAAAGTATATTTTGGCATATATGTAGAAATGTAGACCAGTGGGACAGAATTAAGAATCTGAAAGCAAACCTTCTTATTTACAGTTGATTGATTTTTAGCAAGGGTCCTAGACCATTTAATGGGGAAAGAATTGTCTCTCGGAGAACAAATGAAAACCTGGGTTTCCACAGTTAAGAATGAAGTTATTCACACAAGAATAACTCAAGGTGGATCAGTGCCCTACATATAGAAACTAAAACCGTAAAACTCTTAGAAGAAACAGTTGTGAATCTTCACAACCTGGGATTTGGAAATGGATTCTTAACATGGTATTAAGAAATATCTTAAAATATCTTATTCAGGATGTTTTTTTAAAAAATTGTTTTTAGTCAGTTGCCCATTTTGTAAGGCTTGTATTTTGCTGACACTAGAAATCAACCTACCCAAGCACACACACCGGTAGCCCTGTGTTCCAATCTGCTGGCCGTGAAGGGGGCGCCTGAGCTGGGTACAGTGTCCTCCCAGTCACCGTGACCAGGCTGTGTACCTCCTCACAGGTGCACAGGCTGGTGCCCAGGGAGACTTTACTCTTTGGTATTCATTTCTCTCCAGGGATTAGCATGCTGCACTGGTATTGGTCCTTAACCAGAGCGACCATGATATTTGTTATGTACATGATTTTCGTTCCCCATACCCACATGGAAATAAAAGCAATAAAACAGAAATCATCCCAACATAATCAGGCTCAGGGCAGTCTTAAAAATATCTCTAAGAACAATTTCTGTGGTCCCTGGCCATCCAGGGACCTAATTTCATCCTAAATGAAATTGTTTCAAACAAACATCAGCGAATCTTAAGCTGTGAGCTTATTGGTCTCTTGGAAATGAAGCTCCTAAAAATCATTTATTCCACTTCTTCTATTCCAAGAAGTAACCTGTTTCTTTCCACTTGGTCATTCTTTCCAATATTATGCATCTTATAATGAGCACCTGAGATGCCCTGGCTATGTCCACCACTTCTGTACCTGGGGGTCAGGGGATGGGCTGTCTCCAAATATCATAAAACAAGATTCCTGAGAGAGGATTTTGCATTTCTGGAGAAAGATGAACCATAGGTGTTGGCTTTTACTATTACATATCTTTTACTATCAGAAAGAGATCTCCCACTATCAGACAAATCTTTCATGTTTAGGTTCAGCTAAGAAAGTAGATGAAACAAACTTTTATTTAAACTGAGCTTCTAAAAATATACAAAAGTATATGCCTTACCTAGAGAAGTATATCTTACTAGAGAATTTAAACCCTGTTGAAAATTATTTCTTAATTTCTTTGAAAGATATCCTGCTTCGTGTTGTAATATCAGAAATAGTCCTTTCTTTGACTTAACTGACTCATTCACTTTGCATTATTAATAGTTTAAATGAGCTTTCAAACTATTAAGTAGTTTAGCTAGTTTAACTCTACCTGTGGAATTTGTTTCAAGTTAATAATGATTCAGTGTTATGATCTGGAGAAAGTATTACGGGCAACCAGGGTAATAGCTGATCAGGGATTATCTATATACCCATGAAAACATGCACCTCTGAGCTCAGGATACAGAGGGGTGTTTGGGGCAGGAAAGTACACCAAATTTTCAGGCATTTCCAAATGTTTACTTTTAAAGGGGTGAATTCTTCTGCTCTTTAATTTTTCTCTGCTTTCAACTATAGTCATCGTTGATATCTACAGGGTTCCAGGAAACACAACCTCCCAACACCAGCAGAACAAATCTTAAAGATGCTCAAGTCTGGGATAAGGAATAGTTTTGCATAGAACTTAAACTTCTTTAAATAATCACTAGACTTCTTACAATGCCTCATATAATATGAACATTATAAAGCATCATTTAAGGAATACTGACAAGAAATGTCTTTACGTGTTCAATATCGACAGCATTTCTTTTTCCGAATAATTTTGATTGTGGTTGGTTTAATCTGTGGGTGTGGAATGCACAGATACAGATGAATGACTATATCTGATTTTTCTTAAACAAGTCTAATGCTGGGTATAATACAGAGAAAGACTGTGGGTGTGTTTCACCTGAGGTCTTGCTTGTATTTTATTCACATGGACCTAAGTTTCTTCCAAAGGATGTTTGAGTGAGAACCTTTTGTGACCCAGAAAATCAAGATCTATTTTCCCTAGGATCTGGATCCTTAGTGTCCAGGATAGTCCCTCACCTGATTTTCATTATTAAAAATTTCTGAATTCTTTATTGACATGCTTTTTTATATCAGTTGATAGTGGGGATGGGTAGAGTATTTCCTTTCCTTGTTCCTCTCCCTGTCTGCGTACGCTTTTTAGAGGTGTAAGGGATTGCAGAGACAGTTCAGTCCAACCAAGTGTTAAGAAGAGAGAAATGAATCTGTGCATCTAAAGTTGTCCAGACAGCTTTCCTATGAAGGGGATGGCTGTGGTCAGCAGACCGGTGCATCTAAGAGAATTGATTGTAACACCTCCGTAGCTATGACGGTGTTTCCCTAGGTCCAGATGAAAACCAGAGACCAACAGGCATTTGGGGAAACCAACAATGTGATGGAGAAGAATCCAAATGGACAAACAGAGCCAGAGAGATCTTAGATACGGGAGGAGAACAGGAGCCACCAATTTCACTGAGCATTCTCATTCAAATTCAGTGTGGTGTCACAGTTCCTAAGATAAGAAAGTGCTTCTATGAAAAAGCAAAAAAAAAAAAAAAAAAAAAAAAGCACAAGAAAGGTTACTGGAAATATAAGGGAGAAGCTTCTAGAGGACTCAAGAATAGAAACCACCAACCTATCATCTAACAGAAGCTATAGAAAGAAAAGAAACAGGGGTGGGAATGATGTCATGTTGAGAGATAGAAGAAGATCTCCCTGAGATGCAGATGAAAACCAGGTTTTTGGCCCTTTCTCCCCACTCCCCTCAAAACAAAGTTCAAAAGCAATCTTAGATACATCATGATTAAATGTCATGACTTCAAGGTGAGATAAGTGAGGACCCTAACTCTTTTGAAGAGAAGGAAAAAAAATCCATAATTTCTTGCAAAGGAAAGAGAATCATACTGACTCTGGATTTCATTATCAAAACACTGGATGCTAAAGTCAAAAATAAAATAACCCTTAAAATCTGAAGAAGAAAGAATTTGAATTTAGTTTGGCTCTATTTCTGAATTTTATCAATCCAGTAAGAGGGCCTACACTCATATATTTTAATAACATCTGTATTAGCTCATTATTCATTACAATAGTGTAATGCCTGAGGCAGACTACTTTATCAAGAAAAAAGAAGTTTATTTCGGCTCATGGTTCTTGAGGAGCATGGTCGAGGGGGGCTGTATCTGGTCAGTGTCCTAAGGTGGCACAGGGCAGAACATGGCAAGAGACAGGGAGCGTGTGATCGGGTGTGTGTTCAAGTCTGTCTCCTGGGGTTCCACCTTAATGACTTTATCTAATACTAACCAATTTCTTAAAAATAGAAAAAAAACAACACTGTAATCAGATTAGGTTTCTACTCTCTTAGTGACTCCGATTAGGGTTTGAATTTCAGTATATGAAGCCTTGAGGGACACTGAAATCATACTCAAATCATAGAACGTCTACAATAATCTGTCAGTAATGTTTATACCGAAACATTCAATGGATTCAAGGAAGCAGGCAAATTGAGATTTTCAAAGTTGCCAACAGAGAGTTATTTAGGGAAAAGATGATCCATAAAAAGTGTGAAATAAAGTGTTACAGACAGAAAATTGCCCTTCAATTATGAAAGCTTGATGGAAGAAGTTGACCTTTTCTCTCCTGAGGGCTCCACTCTGCTGTCCACTTTGGTAGTGGAAAATATTTTCTAAGATTCTATGAATGCTACTGTCGACGGGATTCAGAAACAACCTGCAGACAAAGCACAGGAGGCTGATTTTATACTTTGGAACAGCTGGGCACAGTGGCACACACCTGTACTCCCAGTCACTCAGGAAGGCTGAGGCAGGAGGACTGCACTTTCAAAAGGCAGCCTCAGCAATTCAAGGAGGCCCTAAGCAGCTTAGCCAGACCCTGTCTCAAAATGAAAAATAAAAATGGGTTGGGGGATGCGGTTCAGTGGTTAAGTGATCCTGGATTCGATCCCTAGTACCATAAATAAATATGAAATTTAGAATAAATTGCAGTATTGGCTCTCAAAACTTAATTATTGGTGTATACTTTAAAATATAGCATAACTACCAAAACATCAGATAATGGGCTACAAAATAGTTTGGGTGTATCTCCTAGAACTCCTGTGGTAGAGGTTTGATCCCTAAGGTCGTATGTTAATGGTATGTGGAGGTGACATTGGGAGGTGGTTAGGGTTAGATTAGGTCAGGAGGATGAGGCCCCCATGATACCATTGGTGGCTTTATAAGGAGAAGAGAGCCTAAGCCAGCACACTTACTGTGTGGCTACATGATGCTCTGAGCTCCCTCAGGGTGATGCAGAACCCTCACCAGCATGAAGGCCCTCCCCAGACACAGCCCCTTGGATCTCCAAGCTGAGTTAACTAACTTTCTCTTTCTTTCTCTCTCTCTCTCTCTCTCTTTTCTTTTTTCTTTTTTCTTTTTGTATTAGGGATTGAACTCATGGTTGCTTAACCACTGAGCCATATCCCCAGCCTTTTTTTTTTTTTATATTTTACTTAGAGTCAGGGTCTTGCTGAGTTGCCTAGGGCCTCACTAGTTTGCTGAGGCTGGCTTTAAACTCTAAATCCTCCTACCTCAGCCTCCCAAACCACTGGGATTATAGGCATGCACCATCATGCCTGGCTAACTTTAAAAAAATTTTTTTTAAATTTTATTGGCTTTTTTAAAATTATTCATGGCAGTAGAATCTATTTTTATATAATCATATTATCATGGAATATATCTTATTTTAACTAGGACCCCTGTCTTGTGGATGTACACAATTGGTAAGATTCACTTTGGTATATTTATATGTGTACATAGAAAAGTTGTGTCAGATTTATTCTACTGACCCCAGTTAACTTTTATTCTTTATAAATTATCCTGTCTCTGATATTCAGTTATAGCCACTGAAAACAGAATAAGACATGAGAGAATGTAATTTGTTAATTTCATAGATATGGTCTCAAATCATTAAGTCAGGACATTAAGATCTATTCAAGTCATGAGGGCATGATTTAAAATTATAAGGTCAGATGCCAGAAAAGGAGAATGGTTTTCAATCTTTTTAACAGTGGTTGTTTCTGAGAAGACAGAGTGGGGTCGTCTAAAGAAAGGGCCTGGGTTTCGACAAAAGAACATTTTATACTTTCCTTACATATTGTTAGTCAAGTGCACACACTGTTATTTCTTGCTTGTTTTGAAGTTTACCATTTGTCGGTGGTTATTAAACATAGATCACTGCGGCTTTCTCCTGCCCTACTGGTAAGCTCAGTGGTCTGGGTGGGTCTGGGAAGGTTTAAACTGAGCATCCTGGGATGCCGCCGCCACGCTCTCCTTCCTGCTATCTTTGAGGACAGGCCTGCCACGCACACCCTGGACCCCAGTGACCTGCTACCTTCCGGATGTGCTTCATGATTACCCACCACCAACTCTATATAGAACTTTCCTGCTCCTCTGGTCTCTACCTGACCCTTCACCAATTAATTGTCCTTCCCCCTTTCCTTAATCTCCAGGTCTCAAAAAAGAGAAATCTACATTTCTTACTTAGTTTCTAGCAATCTCTTCAATTTTCATCATTGCCACACACTGAGCAACAGGATTTACCTCTTCACCACCCCACTGTATCATTTATAGGAAACCTTGCTCATCTTCCTTTATCTCCTGTGTTTCCAACCCAAAACTTTGCTTCCTATTTCTTTCATTTTTGATCCCTGACCTCATTTTCCTCAAATTGTGGGAGACGGAGAACAAATCCTATTGGACTCCCCAGTTTTTTTTATGATTTTTTTCTTTCAAATTTTGAGATTTTTCTGTGATCATTTTAAATGAATCACATCATTCACAATCATCAAGGTAATGACCTTATATAACAGCCCAGTAGTGGCATCTGTTTACCTCTCACCTGCGTGGAGGTGCTCAGCACATCTAGTGCCCAGAAGGTCAGGTTCAATCAGGTTGTTGAGGCAGTGTCTTTTACATTGCCCTTGGGTATTTGTGGAGGTTTTCATTCAGGGTTATTATTTCTCATAGCATGGATGTGATGGAGCCGATGCTTTCTATTGTGAGTATCTGGGATGTTCCCAATATCTGGCTATTAGGAATAAAGCTAAGCCTCTTACTTTTAATATGTTATTTTTTCACACAGAGATCCATGACCCGTTATTACATGCAATCAACTCTAGCTTCTCTTTTAAATTAACAGCTTTATGGCAATATAACTCTCCCAATTAAAATGTACACCTCAGTAGTTTTTAGCATATTCATACAGTTTTGACATTATTGCCACAAGTAATGTTGAGACATCTTCACTGCCAAAGAAACCCTGTACCCACTAATGATCACTTTCCATTTCTCCCCAATGCCTGTCTACTATATGTCTAGGCAGCCACAAATATACCTCTATTTTCTGTGTTAGCCAGCTTTCTGTCACTATAACAAAAATACCTGAGATACTTCACTTATCATGAGAAAAGGTTTATTTTGACTCACAGTTTTAGAGGTTTTCAGTCCAGGATTGACCCCTTTGCTTTGGGCCTTTGGTGGCATCTCATGGCAGGAGTAGCAAAATTTCAGCTCATGGCTGTGGAGTGAAAGAAAAAAAGAAAGAGACCAGGGTCTCCTTTGAGGAAGCACTCCCAATGACCCAAAGATCTCCCATCAGGTTCTACCGCCTCCCAATGGCACCCCTCTGGGAAATAAGCCTTTCCCACATGGATCTTTGGAGAATACTTAGATTTAAGGCACAGCAGACTATAAATTTACAATTGTGCATATTTCATATAAGAGGGTTCAAATATGCGTGTGTGTTTTGGTTAACATTTCTTTCATTTGCACTAATGTTTTCAAGGTTTATTCACATTGTAGCCTGAATCAGTACTTCGTTCCTTTTTTATTTGGAGTAATATTTCCTTGTTATATTGTATTTCACTTATCCACCAAGTTGATGGATATTTGTATTGTTTCTACTTTTTGGCTGCTGTGAATAACATTGCTGTGAGCATTCATGTATAAGTTCTTGCATAACCATGTTTTCATTTCTTACGGGTATGTATCTAGGAGGGGGATTTCTGAGTCACATGATAATTTTATGTTGACCTTTTTAAGGTACTGACAGAATGTCTTCCAAAGAACCATGACCATTTGCATCTTGACTAGCAATGCCCCAGGGTTCCAGTTTCTCCACACCCCTACTAACATTTGATGGTGTCTGTTTTTGTTATTGTATATTGAAGCCATTTGAGTGGGTATGAGGTCGTATTTTGATAAGCTTTAAATTTGTTTATTTTGCATTTTCCTAATGACTAGTGATGTTGAGAATGTTGCCATATGCCTTCATATATTTTTTTCTGAAGAAATGACTATTCAACTCTTTTCCCCCACTTCTTAATTGGGTTCCTTGGTTGTTGAATTACAGAAATTGTACTGAAATTAATCCCATTTTAGATACATGATTTAAAAAACATTCTCCCATCCTCTGGATAGTGTCGTTTAATTCTGCCAAAGTCAAGTTTGCCCGGTTTTAATCTTATTGCTCACCAATGTAGTGTCACATCTATAAAATACTTTTTTAAAAAGACAGTATGAGAGTTGTTATCATAGTATGATATTCAGCGTTCACAGTTATGGGCTTGATTCAGTACCACCGGAAAAGTTACTTCATCCTTTTCCCATTTCCTCATGTTTGTAAAGGAGCATTCGTGTGTCTATCTGTAGGACTGTTGTTAGTGTTAAAAGATACGTGCATGGCACAGTGAACCATTATTCCTGGAACATAGTGTGTGCTCAATAAAAATCACTATTGTTAATACTATTATATTTGGAAAGTTCACTTGGGAAGCGTGTAAGAAGCTGATTAGTTTTATGGGGCAGAAATATTAATGGTAGTTTAAGTTTAGCACAAAGAAGAAAAAAACATTATTTAATCCAACATCATGAAGGTTTATGCCTATGTTTTCTTCCGAGAGTTTTTTAGCTTAGGTATTTGATCCGTTTGGTGTCACTTCGTTATATGGTGTGAGGGAGGGCTCCATCGTCATTCTTCTGCGTGCGGACATCCAGCACATTTGTTGAAAGGGCTATTCTTTCTCCATTGAGTTTCCTTGGGAGCTTTATCAAAATCAATTGATTATTTCTGGACTCTGGATTCTATTCTAGGCCTCTCTATATCAATACTGTGCCAGTACCACGCTGTGTTGACTATTTTAGCCTTGTAGTGGATTCAGAGCACAAATTCTCTAGCATTTTTCTTTCATTTGTCTCCAACACAAAACTTTTGGTTTTGTTGATTTTTTCTCTAGTCTTTATTAATTCTGACTGTAACCTAAGTGTTCCTTGGATTTGGTTTGCTCTTTCCTCCTTACAGTTTTAAGGTGGAGCGTCAGGATTCTGACTTGAGGTCTGTGTTCTTTCTCCATAAGATGCTGGTAGCTACAATTCCCCTCTGGATGGTGTTCCTACCTCCTGCTCCCTTGACTTCTTGTCGCCTTCTTGCTCATTTTCCTTCCTTTCCATCTTCTTGCTCCTTGGTGACCCTTCTCTGCTTGATCCTTCCTGAAAGAAGCCAGACAACCCGTGGCTGGGGCTTGTGCTGAGTGCCTAGTGGTACCGTCTCGCACACCCTCCCTCCACAGCAGCCCCTGTGAAGAAGGGGGGCTTATCACCTCCACTTTATCACTCATGCACCTCAAATGCAGAAAGTTTAAGTAACTCGTCGAGTTCATTTAATAGTATAAATCAGATTTGGCATTTGCTCTTCTCCTTCCACTCTCTCCCTGGGGGAGTTCTGTAGGATTTAGTGCTATTTTTGTATGGATGACATCCCTGTATCTATCATTAGCTTGTAGATCTCTGCTGAGCTTCTAAACGAAAGCCCCGTCACCTACCAGATGTCTCCCCCCCTGCCCTGCAGGCCGGACCCCTCTGCAGCTCCTTCCTGGTCACTACCTTGTCTCCAAACCTCCTTCCCGTGTCTGCCCTTTGGGTAATAACGCTGGCTCCTTCAGACTGACTCCCAGATGCCAGTTTACACCAACTTCCTGCCCTGGGATGAATGTTAGTGTTATTTCCTGTATTTGTTCCTTTCCATAAAATCCTTTCTTCTGACGGACATGCTTCTCATTCCCCAGCCATCTGGTGAGTTGCCTCCTGGGCTCCAGGCAGAATTCGATGCCCCACTAAATTCTTCTTGAGTCCTTGTTTGTAATTTCATGATAGCATCCTCCACATGGGGTGTAATGTTTCCATTCTTGAGGTTTTCTTCTATCTACTGCTAGAAGGTGAGCATTGAGGTTGCATAGTGTGTAGAAGGTATTGCATAAAGCTTGTGAAATAAATGAATAGTTCTAAGGTGAGGGAATATTATTTACAGCTGGAATAAGACTTGTTTGAGAGAGAGGTCATTGCAGAGTTATTGCCCCAGATCTCCCTCACAAATGCACATTAAACATTAGTCCCACCAGGGACATTATTCCTGATATCCCAGGTCTGATCAGGTGGTTCTTTTAGATCTCTCTTTTGCAGAACTAGTAGTGAGATATATATATATCTCACTCAGGATTGTGGTGCTCGGGATTGAACCCAGGGCTTTATGCATGCAAGGCAAGCACTCTACCAACTGAGCTATACCCCCAGCCTGTGATGTACATTTTTAAATATTTGTGAAGTTATATTTTTTATTCCGTCTGCTCCACTTGATTCTTAACTCTATGAGTAGACACTGCGTAGGTCTCACTTCTGCACAGTTGTCTCCTGTTCCTTCATCCAGAGCCTGGCCTGTAGCGAAAGCTCAATTGATATTTATCTGGACAAATGAAAAACAGTCACCATGATTCTTTTTATGTTTGGTAGTTGCTATCTCTATTTTGGTTGCTAGTTTTATTATGGAGATGCCTTAGCACCAAAGAGAAATGCTCACATATTCAGCAAACTCATAAAAAAAGCAAATCCCGTGGACCTAGAGATCTTTGGGTGATATTGGGATTTGGGGCTTGTTAGGACAGGTTTTCTTCCAGCTAGATTCTTGGACTCAGTTCTGGAGTTAAATAACCATAATACTAAACAAGTCTGAGTGAGAAAACCAGATTCCAAGCCTCACTTAGAGAATGCAGAGAGGACCTTCCAATCAGATTCCAAATGCCACTACTTTTTTTTTTTTTTTTAGATTTAACTTATATGACAATTTATTTAATTTGTCCCAACCCTACACTCTTGGGTTGATCTTGATTATTTCATGAGCATTGAATACATCAAACTCTTCAGCAGGCTCTCTTTTAGTTTTTTTCTTTTTAATGAACTTCCTGACATTTTTCTATTTCTTCTTTTATCATAGATGCTTCTGCAGTTTCTTTGTAGGTCTAGGATTCCAAAGTATGCACAAGAACAACTGAGGATTTGATGGAGCTAATTTGTAGGCAGATGTGTGTGTTGAAAGCAGAAGACGGGAGGTTGCAGTCTGGACTTTGATCTGACATTCTGTCTGCCAGGAGATTATATATATATTCATTGCCTAAACCCATTTCCTCCCATTGTTAATTATGTTTAATAATTTTTACTGGACTCTGAAAATGATTTTGCTCAGCAATGCTTATTATTATTCCATAATTACTCTAGGAATAGAAAGGGGAAAATGAGTACAATGCTTGTCTGCAGAAATGAATGGATTCCAGGATTCGAATCAGATTTACCTCTCGGTCTTAGTTTAAAAAATGTGAAGATTGCTTATTTCTCTGTTTTCTGCATGTTATGTCCTTCCTTGCCAAAGAGGAGACAGGATAAAAGATATTTGATGGTTTATAAATGAAAAAAACACATGCACAATTCCCATGGACCAGGGTTCAGATTTGTAATGGAGGGAACTTCCATTCTACTTAGTTTTAATGACTGCTAATAATTTTAATGACAGCGAGCCTGGTGATATTCCATTCCTTGTGATTCTTAAAAATAAAACACATCATTTTAGGTTTGATGAATAAAACGACTATCCAAGCTTCTTGGTTAATTTTTAAGTCTTTCTACATAGTGGGGATAATCTATGCTTGAGTAATGTCCAGGACACCATGACCAGCCCTTTCTACAGACAGCCTGTGGCTGGCCTGGCATCCATAGTACCTTGGTTGGTGGCCCAGTCTTGTTCCTCACTGGCTGAATAACACTGTAGTCCTGAGCCCTTCTGTGTTTCCAGTTTCAACATTGAACATCAGAAATAGTGACACCAGCTTCTTCGAGGTGGTGGGATTTCATGAGTTAACATGAACTCTCAATAAATATTAAAAGCTTCCTCAGTCCTCCCTCCCAGTATTAAAAAAAAAAAAAAATCACACATGCTGTGTGTGTGTGTGTGTGTGTGTGTGTGTGTGTCTTTCTTCAGGGCATTGGTGAATTTCTCATCTCCCCCATTGCCTATTCTTGATTCTGTCCCTCTTGGGCTGACTCTGCATCTCCTTTTTTTTTTTTTTTAAATTTCTTACATATATGACAATAGTGGAGTGCATCACAATCATAATTATCCATTCACAACGCCATTTTTCGTAACTCTGTATATAAAGTATGTTCACTCCAAATTATGCCATTATACGTGAGCTCTTTATTATTATCATTATTATTATTATTATTGTTTTGCATTACAATTCTTAATACACCTTTATACCACAATTCACCATATCTCTGATTGTACATGAGGTATGTTGACACCAAACTCACATCTTCATGCATGTATCTTGTATAATGATGAGGGTCTCCTTCCACCATCCATGCTATTCCCCTTCTCCCTCCCTTTCCCTCCCACCCCTATTCCCTATCTTGAAGACTCTGCATCTTCTCCCTGAGCAGAGGGTCTGTGTGTGATGAAAGTTGCTCAGAGTCGAGATCCAAGAAGGAGAAAGAGACTGGTTCCAGTTAGCTCCTGCGCAGCTGGGCTGCCCTGTGGGAAGCTGAGGACTGGCCAGATTTATCGAACCTAGAATCGTGGATGTTTCTGAGTGAGATCTCTTCTTAGGCTGGGAGAGTGAAAGCAGAGTCAGAAAGAAAGCAAAGGCACACTGTTCAAAGTTGGTCTTTTATAAATTAACTCTCTCCCACACCTGGTTCCTTTGCTAGGTGTCTCCGGGTGGACGGTCGGAGCCCCCCAGCAACATGCCTGAGCAGAGCAATGACTACCGGGTGGCCGTGTTTGGGGCAGGGGGCGTTGGCAAGAGCTCCCTCGTCCTGCGGTTTGTGAAGGGCACCTTCCGGGAGAGCTACATCCCGACGGTGGAAGACACCTACCGGCAGGTGATCAGCTGCGACAAGAGCATCTGTACCCTGCAGATCACCGACACCACCGGGAGCCACCAGTTCCCGGCCATGCAGCGCCTGTCCATCTCCAAAGGGCACGCCTTCATCCTGGTGTACTCCATCACCAGCCGCCAGTCCCTGGAGGAGCTCAAACCCATCTACGAGCAGATCTGCGAGATCAAAGGGGACGTGGAGAGCATCCCCATCATGCTGGTGGGCAACAAGTGCGACGAGAGCCCCAGCCGCGAGGTGCCGAGCGGCGAGGCCGAGGCCCTGGCGCGCTCCTGGAAGTGCGCCTTCATGGAGACCTCGGCCAAGCTCAACCACAACGTCAAGGAGCTCTTCCAGGAGCTGCTGAACCTGGAGAAGCGCAGGACCGTGAGCCTCCAGATCGACGGCAAAAAGAGCAAGCAGCAGAAGAGGCGAGAGAAGCTCAAGGGCAAGTGCGTGGTCATGTGAACGCCTGTCCCCGAGGAGCCTCTGCTGTCCCCCCCTGGCCTCGCCCCTTCCCCACCCCACGTGAACCGTCGTCCGGGCAGCATGTCCGATGCCCACGTGTTGAACATTGCACCTGACCGAGGCCCGCCCTAGCGTCCTGAAGAAGGCATCCCACACCCCCACCAATAATGACGACAAGCCACCCTTCCGTGGAGTTGCCAGGCGGTGACCAGGAAAGCCAGCACGCTCAGCATCCCAGGGGACTGAGGGAGGTGACAGTCATCTATGAGGGCGGCTTCTGCCGTGAGGAGGTAGGAAGACCCATACCCTTCAAAGCAGGAGAAGCTGGGAGGGCTGAATGTCATCTACCTGCACGAGAGAGAGCCAGAGCTACTGGCACCAACTCCAAACCAGCCATTTCTCTCTGCTCAGAAGTCAGTGACATCTTTGGGGGGAGGAGGGAACGATCAGGCAGAGTTCGTGGGAAATCCAGTTGGTCCAAAGTGAACCACGGTGGCTCCCTTCCATAGATTTTTAACTGTATTAAAGATCAAGTAAGACAGCCTTCCTCAAAGGATGTGCGTTCTCAGTTAATTCCCACCCGACCCTACCCTAAAGGGATGTATTCACCTCCTACAGACCTAGTGAGCAAGTGTCATGTTAACTTACTCTACTTATTATTTATGTTCACATACAAGGATGAGTTCACTAATAGCACACTGCTGTGTCAGAAGTTCTTCGATTTTTGAGTAAAGGTATTGTGACATTATTATTCAAACATCGCAATAATGTTCCTGTGTTATACTTTGAGGGTTTTAGAATGTGAAGTTTCTTTCCTTTCGCCCGTGAGGGCTATAACTTCTACCCCTCAGATTTTAAATTCAAGCAAATAAAGTAGCTATTTTTAGAATAAAAAAATTCCCCCTCCCCTCCAAGATTTTTGTTTTCCTCTTTAATAACTTGATCTGTACCCAGCTGGGTAACAGCCAACAAAGGCCATCCAGTGACCAGAAGCACATCATTTTTCTAACTGACGTGAACATGTATATGCTACACTTTGCACCTTCATGAAATATTTTGCAACAGAAGTTGTTCACTGTGTTTTTGATGACCTATCCAAATCAGGACTGTATTCCTGGACAATGCATTTAATCAATAGCAAACTCTTGCATGTTCTATTACACACATCCTTAAAGAGCTGTTCAATGCAGTGTCCACCCTAGAAACCATGGTCCTCTTCTCTTAATGATTGTGTGTGCATCCTTAATACTTCAAACCAAATTCCAGCCACTGGTTCCTGCAGGAGGCATGGGAGGTGATGGTGTCTGTAGACAGGCTGGCTGTTCTGACCTGGGCAGAGCCTGCTCAGCTTAACCATTCTGCCATGGTGGTTGGGCTCTGCTTCTTGAGAAATTCCCACAAAGCCTGAGTTTTCCTGTTTTAGTTGGCAGAATGCATGCCTGCCCCAACTGGTGGATCATCCTCTTGGCCATCTGGGCAGGCAGCAGTACCACGCTTCTTGCAGACAGGGTCTTCTGGATGTTGGGCATCAGTGCCAACCCCAGGCAGGGCTTCCCAGCTGGAGATGTTACACAAACTGCCTTCTGCACCTGCTATTTTGGTGACCCTTCCTATGCAGGGTTTCCTGTCACAGCCACATAGACACCTTCATCCTCCAAAGCATACTTGTGCTCTCAGTGTTTCCTAGTTTCCTTTAGTCCTTTCTTATTCAATTCCCTTATCTGGTCTTATCCCGGGGCTCTACCAGTGACTCTCCCTGGTGATGTATTTAGTGTGTAGGAGGTGCCTTCGAGAACCTCTTGGCTTCAAGGTCTTACCATCTCTTTGGGATTCTAGAAAAAAATTCCCTTGTCTTTACCTGGGGAAATGATCATGCCGAGAAAGGGAGCCAGCAGGGAGCTCAGATAATTGGGGCATTTCTAGGCCCTCTTTAAATTCTTCATACAGGTGCCTTCCAAAGGCCATTCCATGGTATTCCATAACATTCCCAATGAGATCTCGTTGTTGGATATTCTGGAACATGTTTTTCAACATGTCCCTACATAGTTTTTCCTATTCTCAGAGATTATTAGTTTGTCACTCGAATGTGAAGGAAATGGAAGAAGTTACAGAACTTTATGGCGAACGGGGATTGTCCAGAGTTGGGTGTGTTCTTTCTAACAGTAAACTATGATCTTTGCCACCAGCTGTCATGTTAATAAGGCGTTTATTGTGAATGCCTCCTGCCAAGTGTCCCATTTCCAATTCCCACCCAAAATGAGTCAGGATTTCTTTCCTTGGAAGCCAATAGCCAATTTCTCCATGTTTGAGTGCTTGGGGCTTCATCAATTTGAGGAGCTTATAATTCTTGACAATCTGAGCTCACTCAGGATACACTCCATTCCTTTGTTCTTTGCCTGAGGGTTTATAGGGTAGGAAGAAAGGAAGCCTTCATCCTGGGGCTCCATTCTGCCATCATTTTTTGTGAACCCAACTGAGGATGGTTATATCATCCTCGTCTTTCAGGAGCTCCCCAACTGACTTGGGACTTGAGGGGTTAGTAGCACTGAGCAGGTGGATTTCAACATGTGCTTGTTCCCATCCTCAAATATGGAGTGGTGATTCCTGAGAATATGTCCTACACTGCACATGGGTACAGATGTTTTTTAACCCAGTCCTAGAAAGTTATAAAACTCAAAATATTGCTTTGAAGATGGCACTGTGGGATTACGCATGGGGCTCCATGAGTTCCCTTCTGTCCCCACTGGTCCCCTCTCCATCCAGTGACAAGCCATTGGCATGCATACAATGCAGCAAGACCAACACAAGAGCAATATTGAATTGTTCACTCTATCTAAAATTATATATATTATATAGTTTATCTTCCTGCGTTTTTGAAATATTAAAGTAGTAAACTGTACATATCTGTAAGCTAGTATATTTGTTTCACTGTTTGTAATATTTAAGAAAGGCTCATTCTTTGTAGAACAAAAGATGTACTCAATATTTTAAAAAATTGCTCTGTGATACTTTTTTTCTCCCCCAAATTTGTAATGTGTTGCACCTACATAAGCTCTCTGGAAATATCCATAACGAATGGGACACGTGTAAATCCCTGAAGATATCTTGGAATTCAGTAGCCCACAGATCGTCTGTAGACAAAGTATTTGCAGAGCATGACTTTTATATGTGTGGGATATCAATATGTATATTTATATTAAGGTGTATCTATTGTTACAATTCCATTCTCTTATATTTTATTTACTCTGCAGGTCTAAAAATCACCCTTGCATACAAGTTTCTAGTTGCAGTGATGTTCTGAAAATCATGGAACATATTACAATAAAGTTTCAGATAATGACACCCTGGCTGGGAGGTGCTGATGTCTCTTGTCCGTAAGTGTGTGGTGGATGTGTGATGGTCTTCACTGGCTGCAGATGTGTATGCTGGCCAGCTTATGATGGGATGTCTTGGGAGACCTTGGGAATGGGGAAGTCCTGCTGATCCCTGTCACTGGGTGGAAATGAAGTTGATGTTTCACACAGGGACAAGTGAAAGGGAAAGGGTAGAGGGGCCCACTTGGCTCAAAATAGGAGGGGAGAAAAAAACTATTCTTTCAACTCTGCACCCTTCCCCACTCCAGGCTATGAAATGAGTTTGTGATAGAAAACCTACGTACCTTCTGCAAGGTGGGTGAGACTCAATCAAGAGGAGCTTAATGATCATAAAGCGTTTGAAGGTGTCGTGTCACATAGTGGTGACAAATGAAACCAGCAGCCCACAGGACTCTACCTGGAAAGTTCACTGCAGTGTGAAAATCAATCTATGCAAGTAAAGAAACCACCAGCAACTTCCCATTTCTTGAAGCCTCTCTGTCCTGTTTTCTGCCAGCCACTCCCTACTGCAGTCTCTGTCTCCTTTCAATTCTTATCCCCCATCAGTGTCGCTACATTATTCAGAGTTTCCCGTTTATGCAGATAATTACAATTAGCAGGTCCCATTAGGCCCCATTAAAGGACATTCTGGTACTTATTAAACTTTAATGTGCAAATGAAGCACTCAGGGCTGGGATTCAGAAACCTCTGAGACAGGTGGGGTGGGACCTGGGATTCTGCATTTCTGGCAGGCTCTACTAGAGGCCCACAGACTGCTCCTTTTCCTTTTTTCCTTTTCCCAAATGAGAAAATTTTTTCCCTGTTCTTATTGGTGTATTATCATCATGTTGAACATGATGGTGAAATTTGTTGTTACATATTCCCACACACACTCCATACAACAAAAGAATTTGGCCAATATCATTTCTCTTTCTCTTCCCTTCCCTTCTCCCTTTCTTTCCTCTGCTGATCTTTGAATTTTTAGGGAGATCGCCCCCTGCCACACATGCACGCATCTTTCTTTTTTTTTTTTCATTGATTTAAAAAAAAATAAACCACAGTGGAATGCACTACAATTCTTATTACATGTGTACAGCACAATTTTTCATATCTCTGCTTGTATATAAAGTATGTTGATACCAATCCGTGTCTCCATACATGTACTTTGGATGATGATGTCCATCACATTCCACCATCCTTGCTAACCCCCTGCCCCTTCCCTTCCCCTCCCACCCCTTTACCCCATCTAGAATTCATCTGTTCCTCCCATGTTTCCCTTCCCTACCCTCCTATGAGTCAGCCTCCTTATATCAGAGAAAACATTCAGCATTTGTTTTTTGGGGGGATTGGCTAACTTCACTTAGCATTATCTTCTCCAGTGCCATCCATTTACCTGTAAATAACATGATTTTATTCACTTTTATTGCTGAGTAAAATCTGGTTGTGTATATATGCCACATTTTTTTTTTTTATCCATTCATCCACTGAAGGGCATCTAGGTTGGCTCCACAGTTTAGCTATTGTGAATTGTGCTGCTATAACCATTGATGTGGCTGTGTCCCTGTAGTGTGCTGTTTTTAAGTCCTCTGGGTATAGACCACAGAGAGGGATAGCTGGGTCAAATGGTGGTTCCATTCCCAGATTTCCAAGGATTCCGCCCTAGCTTCCACATGAGAGAGACAATGTAAACCCCTTGACCTTCTGGTTTGGCTTATTTCACTTTATCTTCTCAAGTTCATCTATTTCCCTGCAAATGATATAATTTTATTTTTCTTTATGGCTGAATAAAACTCCATGGTGTATCTTACCACCTTTTCTTCAACCATACATCTGTTGATGGACCCCTAGGCTGGTCCTATAGTTCAGCTATTGGGAATTGTGTTACTCTAAACAGGGGTATGCTTGGATTGCTTTAGTGTGATGCCTTTAAACTCTTTAGTATAAATACTGAGTTTATTTTTGCTGGGCATAGACCTCTCTCTAGGAGCAAGGCTATAATCTACTTGTTTTCCAATTTTGCTGCACTTTGAAATCACCTGGAGAAGTTTGGCTGACTCCTGATTCTCAAATCTCTCTCCAGAAATTATGATTTAGCAGCTCAGAAATGTGGCATCCTCTCAGGGTATTTAAAAGGCCCCAGGTAATTATGGAATCAAGTTTAAGAACAGCTGCTATTAGCCAAAGTTAATTGCAAATGCTGGCCAACTCCCTAAACCTCCCGGGGTGGTGTGAGGGAGGGGTTGCTTGCAAACCAAGTTCCCTCTCAGTGAATATTTTCCAGGTAGCACATTGGTGGTATCTGTGTGAGGCTGTTGGTCTCTTCTATTACAGTATCTCCCAATGTCACTGAGAGAAAATTGTAACTCAGGCATAGAGTTGGCACCCACCTGTGCTACCTGGGAGGAACTACATCAGTGCCAGGTGTGAGGTGATGTTATTTGTCTTGGATCGGAGCTGTCACAGCTGTCTAGAGTGTCCAACCCTCACCCTGACCTAGTCTCAGTATGGCGCGTGCACCATTCTTGGCCGGGACTCAAGTTCCTTTGGCTCCTGGGAATACAGAAGACCCAGCTGCAGTGCTACCTTGCAGCTGGGGACTATGTTTGCACGGTTCCTTTGACTCAAGGTACTAGCTCTGCCCAGCCAATGTGCTTCCTCACACTGGGCCATGAACGCTCATGCCTTTATATTTTCCCATTTCTGGATTATTCTCACTTACTTTCCATCTTCATTGACTTTTTCTTAAGTAAAAGAGGTTTTTATCCATCCTGATCTATCCCAAGTCTTCATGGACCCAAAGAGGCAGGCATCTGTCTGACATTTTAGTACCACTTCCATTGCCAGAGTACCCTAGTTATCATAAGACTGCGTTCATTATTGGTTTCCCTTTATAACTCCTTAGTCTCTTTGCCGCAAGCAACATGGAAGGGGTTAGTTTAGGTCACAGTGTACTATTACTCAGCCATAAATGGATGGATCTGGAGACTATCACACTAAGTGAAATAAACCAATCCCAAAAAACCAAAGGTGGACTGTTTTCTGTTAGATAGAAGCTAACCCACAAAGGGTGTTTGTGTGGAGAATAGAAGTTCAGTGCCTTAGATAAAGGGGAATGAAGGGAAGGGAGGAGGAACAAGAAAAGGAAAGACAGTGGAATGAATCTGTTGTGACTTTCCTATGTTCATATATGAAGACCCCAGAGTGAATCTCACCCTCATGGGCATCCACAAGAAATGAACATAAAAAATACCTCTGGGTAAATGGCAGAAAGATCAATAGAGGGAAGGAAGCAGAGGGTGAGAAAAGGGAAGGAGATGGAGAGGTACTGATGTCAGAAAAAGAATAATGTGTATTCCATGCTGGTATAATTACGTCCAAATGGATTCTCTTGTCATGTATAATTAAACAATACAATAAGAAAAAAGGAAACCAACATTTTCCCACTGAACATCTGTAGGCACCATTCTTTTTTTTTTTGGTCCTGGGGATTGAACTCAGGGGCACTCGACCACCGAGCCACTTCCCCAGCCCTTTTTTGCATTTTATTTAGAGGCAAGGTCTCTTTTTTGAGTTGCTTAGTGCTTCGCCATAGCTGAGGCTAGCTTTGAACTCCTGCGATCCTCCTGTCTCAGCCTCCCAACCTGCTAGGATTATAGGCATGGGCCACTGTGCCCAGCAGCACCATTCTTAATGATTTTAAGATAAAAGAGAAATAAAGTAGAAGTGAAATCTCTTCTTAATTCTAGCAAAAGTTCTAGACAGCCTTGTGCATGCAAGGCAAGGACACTTCCAATTGAGCTATATCCCCAGCCCCTGCAGTCTTGTTAATAACAGATACACATTGGCATTTAAGAAGTTCCTTTCAAAGTGCTCTTCATGACTTAGTGTGTTCTCGCTGTGCACACATGCTCCAGGCACAACAAGAAAACAGCCCCAAAGTCGGGTACTACAGAATACCCTCTTCACTCCCATTACAATGTTAGGATACACATCAGGAACTCAGAGCAGGCTGGGAGATGGGCCTCCACACCTCTGGTTCATATTCTCAAAGACTGGTATTTCTCTTCTTGTCAACTTTCACCTTTTAAAATTCGAATAAGAAATGAATAAAGAAAATCTTTACAATATAAATAAATGAAGTATTGTAAAGGATGAACTTATCAAACACTTGTAGTGTTTTTTTTTTTTTTACTCCTGTTTGACAGACATATTTTTAAAAAATATTTTCCATTTTAATTCAACTTTATTTCTTTATTTGCAATGCTAGGGATCCACAGCCTTGCACATGATAGGCAAACGTCCTACCACTGAGCAACATTCTCTTTTTCTTTTATTGTGATGGAACAAGGCAGGGCGGGGCAGACAGTTTGGGGTAATTCCAGTGGGCTCTGAGATTTGAGGGCTGTCCCTACTGTTGTCTGTCAGCTGGCCCTCAGATGATGGGGGCAGGGAGAATCTGGTGGAGGAGGTGGGTGGGCTAGACGGGAGATGGGTAGGTTTTGGACTGCTCAGTTTGCATATGAAAGGTGTGCTTTTAGGGATGTCCTTAACTGTTCCTAGTAACTGGCTAATCCTGAGAGGGGCATCCCTCCAAATTAGCAAAATCCCAGGTGTCAAGACTCCTGAAATGCAGGAAATAGAAAGGCATAATTTATAGACTGTGGATCTCTCCCATGCCCAGGATGGCAATGTGTCATGAGAGGGTGGAGTGGCTCAATCATCATTTCCCCAACATGTTACAATTTCCCAAACTTGTTGGAGAAATAAAGGAAGGTCATAGCATAAATAATGCAAAATTGCAGGCAAACGCTGATAAACACAGGGGCTGGGAAACACCTTCTAAAGTTGAACGAAGCTGCACACAGTGGCACATGTCTGTAATCCCAGCTGCTTGGAAGGCTGAGGCAGGAGGATCGGGAGTTCAAAACCAGCCTCAGCAACTTAGTGAGGCCCTAAGCAACTCAGCGAGACCCTGTTTCTAAATAAAATATAAAAAAAAATGCTGGGGATGTGGCTCAGGGTTAAGAACCCCTGGGTTTAATTCCTGGCATCAAAATAAATACATAAATTTGAATGAAATAAATGACTATGTCTTGAGTCCCTTTTGAGTCTCAGGCTCTTTGGCCAGCATCACCGGAAACATGAAAACAGAGTCCACTGAGAAGCCCCATCCACCATCTTAGTGTCCTGAACTGCGCCAGAATAATCAACCTCTGACAGTTGTTCACAGTTGGCGCTTATTCCTCTGAGTTAGAGTTTTCTGATTGGTAGAAATGGAGGACCAGTAAGAGACCCTGACCATGCAATGAAATCCAGTACCCTCGAGACTGATCAGGAGACTCCATGGTTCCTAGAATACACTGTGTCCTCCACACACAGGACAGTTGGACCATGCTTTTCTTGATCACAGTGCATCCAGGGGTCCCAGTCCTCCGTGCAGGGGGTCTTTAAGTGTGCAGACTATTGGCTGTCCAGTGTGAAGGAGGGTGGAGGCATTCCCAAACCCAGAGATGCTCATCCTCACTTCTACTCACTCCCTTGGTCCCTTGCGGTCAGGGGCCAGTTCCCACTGGGTCATAAGAACTGATTTGTTTCCCAAGTTCTCAATCAGTAACTTGAAATGGGCCTTGGCCAGAATATTTCCATCTTGAAAAAGACTCTACACCTGGGTCTTCTCTCTCATTCTGGGAGCTGTATTTTGTAAACATGCATCACACACTACTGCTCGCAGTGGGTGCAGAGTGTTATTTCTCCTTCTCTCTGTGTCCTTCTCTGAATCCTTCCTTTTCTGGTTCATCGTGATCCACCTTCATTCTCCTGTCACCCAGAATCTTCTTCCCTGGTCTCCCCAGGCATCTGTCACCACCGTGGTGTTAAACTCATCATTAGGAAATTATGCATTCGCAAGCCATATAATGACATCCTAGTCAGTAGCAGACCACATGTATGATCATTATCTCATGATTATGATAGGGAGATATAGAAGGGCTGGGGCAGTCAGGGAAAAATGGCCAGTGGGGATACTGGGGTGGGACCAGAACAAAGGAGCATGGAGAGAGTCTTCTGATGAGGTCAACTTCCTGCTTGGTGAAATTGCTCATGGACACAAGCAGGGGATCCAATCAGACAGACACGTCGGTGCTCGTAAGTGGGGAATTCAGAAGAAAAACTAAAACAGGCTCACGGACACAGGGGACACTGATCAAGCATGGAGGACATAAGGAAAGGAGGAAATTCCAGAAACCATAAAAAGAACAGGCCAAACTCCCCCACTGGATTCCCAGCTCTAGGGCCCCATCTCTTTGGAGAAGTCTGTCTCTGTTGCTTTTGCAGAAACCCTGCTGCTTGCTTGCTGACTCTGTGTTTCAGTCAGCCTTTTTTTTTTTTTGCTGCTGTGATTAAAAGACCTGCCCAGCACAATTGCAGAGGAGGAAAAGTTTATCTGAGGACTCACAGTTTCAGAGGTCTTAGTTCATAGAAGGCAGGCTCCATTCCTCAGGGCTCCAGGTGAGGCTGAACTTCAAGGCCAGAGAGTATGGCAGAGGGAAGCAGCTCACATGATGATCAGAAAGTAGAGAGACTCGACTCTCCAGATACAAAAATATATACCTAAAAGCCACGCCCCAATTCCCACCCCCTGCAGCCACACCCACCACTTCAGTTACCACTCAGTTAATCCCTATCGGGGATTAATCCACTGATTGGGTCCAGGCTCTCACAACCCAGTCATTTCTCTTCTGAACCTTCTTGCATAGTCTCACATGTGAGCTTTTGGGGGCACCTTACACCCAAACCCTAACACTCTGTGTCCTATTCTTTAATTTTTTGCTGAACAGATGCAATAAACCCAGCACCCCTAGATGGTAAAACAGAACTGAAAACTTCCTATTTCACAGTGACAGGGTAGCTGTCATAACATCATAGCACAACACATTTCTCATTGCTTGTGGTGATTCTGGTGTAACCAGTCTTACTGAGAAGCCAGTTATATTAAGTACAGCACGTGATTACAGACGGTGCATACTTTATATGAGGACTACAGGCTTTGGGCTTGTTTAAGCATGTGCGGTGATGTGCAAAGAAGGATGACGAGATCATTTAGCAAAGCCCTTCCCAGAAGTTATCCCTTTTTTTTTTTTAAAGGACACAGGACTGTAATTTTGAGAGCCAGTAACCACATGATGAATATTCATGGGCATTTTGGAAATATTCTTAGAAGTATTTAAAAGACACATAGAATATTGTTTAACCCAGATGGCCCAATATTGCCCTTTCAACATAGAAAACGAACGTGGAATACAAGAGAAACAATCTCATGCCTAGAGGTACCCTTTGCAGCCTTAATTAGTAGAAGATTGGTAAAAATTTAAAAGTCTGACACAGCACAGAGCACTGTGTGCCACTGAACCATAAGTGATTTTTGCAAGAGCCATCCCGAGGCTCTGTCAGTGACTTAATTATCAAAGAAAACTTAAATTGGGTTCACAAAGTCAAGAAAGTGTGTTCTATAGAGGATGCATTTTAATGGAAAAGTTTTTCTGGGTAGAGCTCAAATGAAGTCAGGAAATTAAATTACCTGGAACACTCCATTAATTGAAGACTCCTCTTAATTGAGATTTTTTTTTTTCAATCACATTTAAAACAGAAAGCTTTGTAGTGTCTTTAGGGCTGTTGGCCTCTGCTGTAGGTAGAGAGAGTGATGTCAAAGCCATCAAGAGCTATGATTGACAGCAGATTGCAATGCCAGTTTCCCTGCTTAACTGGGAGTGATGATCATGTCACTAGGATTAAATGAGACTGCAGATAGGTAACAGATCTGGCACGGTGTTGGCTTGTAGTAAACACTGTTCTGTAGCAGTGATTATATCCATTCAAGGAGAGCGGGGGCCCAGGCAGGACATGGGAGAGCGCCTTTACTACCCTACCGCCTGCAAACCCCCACTCTTTCTTTCTTTTCTAATTGTAAGGCCACGCTTTCTACTAATTAAGGAGGATTGAAGTCAAATATGGAGTTTAGGATTGCTGTGCTATAAACATTCTTTTTTCGGTTACATTTTTCACTGTTTCCTTCCACACTCTTTCAAAATCCACTGTCGCTTTCATTCACGCACAACTCAGAATAGCTGCTTTCAGGAACTGCTAAATATAGGCAGTTCAAAATAGCCATTTTTACCCTTCCTTTTAAAGATTTTTTTTTTTTTTTTTTTTTTTACATTCTGAGTTCTTTGTGAGGGGGTTTGCAGTGGGCTCCTGCTCCCTCTTCCTGAGGCAGATCTCGTGACTCCTTATGAAATCAGGAGGACTGCCAGGCTGGCTGGGGCTATTGGCCATCTTGCTGGGGGCCAGGGTCTCCATGAAAGGTAGGACCCCCTCCAAGAAGCATCATGACAGTGATGGGCATTGGGCACCCACCTCCTGAAACCTGTGCTCATCGGCCTATGACAGAAACCCGCATGCCAAGGGCTTCAGCAAGGTTTTCTATGGGGGTGCCGGGTTTCTGTTCTCGCAACTAAAAGGCTCAGGGGTCGCTCCAGTTGAACTGGGCTGACTGGGCTGCGCAAAATAACCACACAAGAGACACAAGTACCTTTTTCTTTGGGGTCGCTGTGACGGCTCCTCTGACCTTAAGGGTCCGCAGGAAGAGAGAGATCGAGAGCATGCGCTGACCCCTTTTATTGAGGAGAAGCTATTCAAATGAGGCAAGGGGTCAGGTTTCAGGGGCTGAGTCTCTCTTCATGATGTCCACTGTCAGCAGGTTGACTGCCACCTGGGTAGGCCACACCCAAGGGAACAGTAAGAGAAGGGGACACACACAAGGCACTTCCATGGAAGATTCTATCCTATACAAAGGAACAGGTGAGCATAGCTTCACCCATGGGCTGTACCAAGACACACCCATGCCTGAGACATGGACCCTCGAACCCAAGAAGGGTGGGGAAAGCTCTGCCACATTTCTGCGACTGAGCGCCTCAGCACCCAGCCGGGGAGTGTGACTCAGTCACGTGTTAGGTTGGTCTCCCACAGGGGTTATTAGGAAGTCTTTGGGAAACATGCCAGGGATTTGGGGGATTTCTCTGGACTTTTCCACCTTGGTTACTTGCAAAGATGGTTGCTGTAGCACTGGCAGCTGAGCCGCAGCAGGGGGAGAAAGAGCATCCCAGCTCCATTAGTCCTTTACAGAAGCCTTCTAGATGCCCTGCCTAAGAACTTGCATTTATGTTTCACTCCCTGGCTCCACGAGACAGGACATCCCCTCTACAGCAAATGCAGAGAAGTGGGAACAGCTCTTATAGAGCTGGAAACACTGCTGTCCTCAATGAACCAGTATTCTGGAAGGACAGGAAAAAGGGGACATGGGCGTGGTCTCTTTGTTATCCACATTGTCCTGATGCAAAATGTGCATTCTCCATACCCACAGGCTCTGCATTTCGGGATCAAACTTGTTAAAAAAAAAAAATTACATCTGTACCCAACATGAACAGACTATTTTTCATCATGATTCCCTTAAGAATACAGTATAAGAACCATTTACCTAGCATTTGTGTTGTATTAGGTATAAATTATCCAGAGATGATTTAAAGTATAGGGGCAGGTGTAGGTTACAAGCAAATACCGTACCATTTCATAGAAGAGACTGGAATATCCATGGAGCTTGGTGCCTGCCGGGGTCCTGGAGCCCACAGATACCAAAGGATAACTGTCTTTTAATTACTTACCAAATAAAACTGAAGAGCTGGGGCAACTAAAGAAGATGGCATCATAGAAGATGTCTCACCTCTTACACTGCCCCGTTGCTAGCTGTTTAAATGGTCCCATCAATTCTTCAAGAAGCCCCACCCCTACGCACAAAAGGGGCTTTACTTCTGAACTCTACCCCCTTCTTCTCTTACCCATAGCAGTTACCCAAAACTCCACAACTCCCTCCAAACAGTACTTCTCTACCACAAGCAATGAATGCATAACTTTGAAAAGAAAGAGACTGGGAACACTGATTGGAGTTTGGTCCTGTTTACAATTTAATGTTGCCTACTGTATACTCGTACAGAGCTTGCTTGACTTCGTAAGCTCATGACTTTTCTGCAACTTAAAAGCCAAATTCCACAGTAATTTTAAAAAAGCCATTGCGCTATCCATTAATATCAAATTAGCATAATAAGTTTAATGGGAAGCAGGTATTTTTTTTTCCTCTATAGCTGCTCTCAGTTGAATGCAACCCTGATGGCTCAGAGTCTGCAATTGTGTGGTGTCTGTGGAAGATGATGCTATGCGCCGGCTCAATCTGTCATTCCATCTCTCTCATTATTTCACAGTACAGCGGATGCCACTTGGCCTCCATTTCTTTCTCCCCTAATGAGAAATAAAGTTGATTTTGGTACCAGTGGTAACATAGATACAAGGGCAGCTTCAAGGCAAGATGTCATCCATGTCAGGTGACCTTCCCGTTGTTCCCCATAATGCTTAACTCCTCTGTTTCCCCTCTACCTTCCCACCAAATTTTACTTTTAGGTGCCACCTGAAATAAGAAACTTCCAAAGTTCCTGGAAACTTAGAAACACAACTTTTGCCTGCGTTGGTTTAAGAATCTCAGGGACACCCTATAATCAGCAAAGGGCAGGTGAGAGTGGGAGGTGAGTCCTTTCGGTAGCATAAAAATGTCTCTCATGCTATTAAGGTAACAGAACAGCTCAATCGGGCTGTGACCCTGTGTTTGGCCTTGAGCATTGGTTGATCACCTTTACTGAGTAGAAAGTATTTGCAGAGCATTCAAATAAAGGAAAGGAGAAAGGAAAAAATCTGATTCTCTCTTCTCTAGAGCCAAGTCTAAGGACAGTTTAGGAGAGCATAGCTCACCTGAGTACCTGACCTTGTTACATCAGGTAGCAATGAATTGAAAGGTCTCTTAGTACATTCTTATTATTTTGCCATATAATCTGACCCCAGAATCTCTCAACTCAAATTTCCTGAGAAACTTATTGTCACACATCATCCCAGCATCCTGTATGTGCTGAGGGTTTCTGCTAAAAAGTAAGAGAGGAAAGACAAAGAAATGTTACGGGGGGTATTTTGAAATCACTTGTATTTGCTTGTGTTTTGGAAAAATTGCATATTTACTGCACTGATTCTGATAGGACCTTCTCTCACCCACCATAAAGAAACAGGCCCCTGGCTAAGGGACACTTACTGCATCCCTGAGTACCCCTGGCCATAAGACATTGATTGTCCACATTCATCTCGTTTACCTGTGGTGTAGAGTTGCTCTTGGATGAATTTCCTCTTCTGGCTACTCCTCTGTTCATTGAACCAAGTCAGCTCTTGGCTTAGCATCAGAAATAATCCTGGAAATAAGGCAGAAAATTGTTCTGCAGAAGCACACTTCTCACTTGTATTAGTGAGGATCGGCTATATTATGTGGTGATAACAAATAGCACCCGGATCTAAGTAACCTAAAACAGCAAAATTTTATTTCCCATCCTGCTACTAGTCCTCTGTGCC